GAGAGAGAGAGAGAGAGAGAGAGAGAGAGAGTTTGAACGGACTGGTGCGGAGTGTATCTGACATTACCTGTCAACCTGCATGTCGTTGTGAAGATGAACACGAAGCCCATGGTGTCTGTGTCAGGAAACACCTACAGTTAATGCATGCAGCCGGCAGTGGTGTGGAGTGATGCGGAACAACTATCACCTGTGTACAGCTTATCACCATATTCTGTCGACAGAATTGCATCGCAGGAAGGAGTGATTTTGGCATTGTTGGGACCAAAATGGCTGCCACAACTACAACTACGCAGCCGCCGGCATGGGCTCCTGGAGGACCCGTGGGTTCCTGTTTTGATCGCCAATTGATGTCGTCAGAGATGGATGATCGCTTTGGTGTACGACGCGTCCGGAAGCATCGGAAGAGTGTTGATTACAGCTCTACAATCGTACCGCTAATGCAAACGCGGATGTTTCAGCGCGACATTAGGGATGCGAGAATCCTCCAGCCGACAACTGTTGCAGCCCTCGATCAACTCCCTCCGGTAGCTTATCCGAACTGCCCATCGATGAGCGTCACGACGAAGTTTGTACGTGCATCAGCCAACAAAGTCCGGTGCTCGATCAATCGCGTATTATGGACACCCACCGGCCGGCGGTTGGTTACCGGTTCGCAGAGCGGAGAGTTCACTTTGTGGAACGGGCAGTCGTTCAACTTCGAGATGATCTTGCAGGCGCATGACAACGCCGTGAGGTCGATGATTTGGAGTCATAACGGTAACTGGATGGTGACGGGCGATGACGCCGGGTGCATCAAGTACTGGCAGTCGAATATGAACAACGTGAAGGCGAACAAGGTGGCGCACAAGGAAGCAGTGAGGGACCTGAGTTTCGCAAGCACCGATCTTAAGTTCTGTTCCTGCTCGGACGACCGTCTGGTCAAAGTGTGGGACTTTGCACGATGCAAAGAAGAACGCAGTCTGTCCGGGCACTTATGGGACGTGAAGTGTGTCGACTGGCACCCACAGAAGGGGCTGCTCGTTTCCGGGAGCAAAGATAATCAGGTGAAACTCTGGGATGCAAAGACCGGGCAGCAGCTGCGTGAGCTCCATTGCCACAAGGACACGGTGTTGCAAGTCAAGTGGAACAAGAACGGCAACTGGCTTCTGACGGCTTCGAGGGATCAACTCATTAAGCTGTTGGACCTGAGAACGCTGAAGGAGATCGAGACGTACAAAGGACATCGCAGGGAAGTGACATCGTTGGCGTGGCATCCGATTCATGAAGACCTATTTGTGAGTGGGAGCTACGATGGAGCCATCATGCACTGGCTGGTGGGGCACGAGGAGCCACAGGCGGAGGCGCCAAATGCACATGAAAGTGGTATCTGGGACTTGGCGTGGCATCCGGCGGGCCATGTCCTGTGCAGTGGGAGTAACGATCACACCACCAAATTCTGGTGTAGAAGTCGGCCGGGGGAGGGCTCACGCGACAGCAAACACAACTCCTTTCAACGGCACCTGACAGAGCAAATGCCTTGTAGATCTGGCGGGGATGGAGGGACTGATGCACTGGGAAGTGGGGGCATACTTGGCAGGCCAGACTCTCCCGACAGTGGTGCAGCGATTCCTGGAGTTGGAATGGCGGTTCAGGTGCAGGCACCTGCAGACCCTATGCTTCAAGAAGAAGAACAAGGAGGAGAAGACGAAGAAACCGTGGAAGCACTATTGACAACACAGGACCCAGTTGAAGCAGAGGAGGAGATGCTACCGCAAGTTGGTCAGAAGAGGCCTCTGTCAGCTGTAAAAGAGGAGAGTAATCCTGATCCAGGGTCGACACCTGCTGAGGATGAGCCACCACAGTCTCGCCCTCGTACGTCAGGGCCACAGCCTCAGCAGGAGGTCTTTTCAACGGCGACAGCAGTAAACCAAGGACCCTTGCTTCAGCCTCCGCCTTCCCAACCCCTGCCTCGCCCGGGAGGGCCCACACGGGGAGGTGGCCTAGTGGGACCCAGAGCTATCCTGCCTGCAGGTCTAGCGCCCTTACCAGGAGGGGTGGGGCTAGGGTCAGCTCAGCAGCAGCAACAGTTTTCCCATGGCCAACCAGGCCAGCAGCTGGTCCAAACTTCGGGGCTTGGGGTGCAAATGCTGGGTGGCGGTGTCCGCGGGCAACCCTCAGGACATGGAATAAGTGGTATCAGGGCTCTTATGGGTCCTGGAGGTGCATTTTCCGCGCTGTCTCGAGGACCACCCCCAAGACAGGGAATGATGGGTGCTGACCAAGTCGGAGGGGGCATGTTTAGAAATGGAGGGGCGCTGGGGCATCAAAGAGGGGGATTCCGACCAGGAATCATGATCGACAGTCGGGGATCCGTTATAGCGCCGGGACCTTTTGGCCCACGGATTCTGCATCGGCTTGGGCCTATGGGACATCCTCCTATGGGTGGACATAACATTGGTCCTTTCTTTGCAGGAGCATCTGGCTTGATTGATCCTAGAGGGAGAGGGTTAGGACAGGGGTCTTCGTCTATGACAGGCCCAAAAAATTGAGCACAGATAGAGTTAGAGAGAGAGAGAGAGAGAGAGAGAGAGAGAGAGAGAGAGAGAGAGAGAGAGAGAGAGAGAGAGAGAGAGAGAGAGAGAGAGAGAGANACTTCGCTTTCATTTCTTTCTGAGCATGCTAGTCCATGCCGCTCGTTTTAGTCTACAGTGAGATGGGTTGATGGTGAGGGTACGCCATGTTTGACATGGATTTGAATAACGTGCCGCTTCTTTTAAAAGGGGAAAGTAGGAGGTGTCTAGGATGTACCTTTCTAAGCATTTGTTTCCCAGGTCTGGTAGGAGATACCTTTCTAAGCCTTTGTTTTCCAAGGTTTCGTAGTTGTAGTTCATAGGCCAGAACCGGTGCGAATACTGCGGCGTACACCGTGAAGAAAATGATGTAGCATAGTCTGAGTGCCATTGAGCTAGCGTAGTCTTGACTGTCATGGTGCATATATCTCACAGAGTTTCCAACCCCCCCCCCCCCTTCCCGCCCGTCCTGTTCTTTAGACGTCATCAGCAGCAAACTGCAAACAAATTGAGACAATGTATATAGACAATCCACTCAGGATGCTCTTCTGATTCTGGTCTCGCATTTGATTGCCCTCAAAGCCTCAGATTATATTACTTTCTCTGTCTGTTTTCAAAAATTTCTGAGTACTTTGCTTCTGCCTTTCCATCTCAGTCTAAACTTGTCAGTTTGTGGCTGAGTTAAAATTTGGGGCTGGTAGTCCCCTTTCTTCCTTTCTTCCTTTCCTCCTCCTCCTCCTCCTCCTCCTCCTCCTCCTCCTCCTCCTCCTCCTTCTTCTTCTTCTTCTCCTACTTCTTCTTCTTCTTCTTCGTCGTCGTCGTCGTCTTCCTCTTCCTCTTCCTCTTCTTCTTCTGCTGCTGCTGTTCTCCTGCGTCTCCTGCTTCTCCTGCTTCTCCTGCTTCTCCTGCTTCTCCTGCTTCTCCTGCTTCTCCTGCTTCTCCTGCTTCTCCTTCTGCTTCTCCTTCTGCTTCTCCTTCTGCTTCTCCTTCTACTTCTGCTTCTGCTTCTGCTTCTCCTTCTTCTGCTTCTGCTTCTGCTTCTCCTTCTCCTTCTTCTTCTGCTGCTGCTTCTGCTGCTTCTGCTGCTTCTGCTGCTTCTGCTGCTTCTGCTGCGTCTGCTGCGTCTGCTGCGTCTGCTGCGTCTGCTGCGTCTGCTTCTGCTTCTGCTTCTGCTTCTGCTTCTGCTGCTGCTGCTGCTGCTGCTGCTGCTGCTGCTGCTGCTGCTGCTGCTGCTTCTGCTTCTGCTTCTGCTTCTTCTTCTGCTTCTTCTTCTGCTTCTTCTTCTGCTTCTTCTTCTGCTGCTTCTGCTTCTTCTGCAGACTTGCAGAGCATGAAGTCCGGCTATGGCTACCCCGACCACTCCGTCTCTCCCACTTCCGGAAATGGCAGCAGGCTAGCGGCGTTGGACCCAAAAAGACCTACTGGCTATTCAATCATTCAATTTATTATAGTACCAAACGCTCGTCTCGTTATACCTTCTCCTACACGGAAACCAAACGAAATAGTGCCATAGGTCAGCGGTTCAACTCGTACGTACAGCCTACTACCGGGTGGTCAGACTGGGCCTGTACCAGCTCTGTTCCAAACCTACTCCTGGACCAAATCTGAAATCCCGAAAGGTCTACAGTTCAAGACCAGCACCTGACAGGATAGTCCCAAAACTACTACAAGAGGTAGTGGCTCGCAGGCCAAGAGTTGGGAACCGGTAACTGCCGGTAGCTGCCTTGATCCAATAGGAGCACAAGGCCCAGGATCGGCTCCCAGGGTCTGCCGTGCCCTCAAAAGTTAACAATTAGCATTGTCTGATAAGCCGCTCACAGCGAAGCGGTAAAAAAGTTCCACTCACAGCAAAGCGGTAAAAAAGTTCCGCTCGCAGCAAAGCGGTAAAAAAGTTCCGCTCACAGCAAAGCGGTAAAAACGTTTCCGCTCACAGCAAAGCAGTAAAAAAAGTTCAAGGTCTACTAACATGAACAGCATCCTGTAAGTCTGACCTACACGCACAAAGATCGCGGACCACGAAATTCTAAACTCAGAAAATGCAATGCCAAAAGATAACCCTGTCCCAGCATCTGTAGATCGAGCAAATGATGTCGCCATAAGCAATAGGTCCATATCAAGATCACACAGATTTATTTATTTATTTGTTTGTTTATTTATTTATTTATTTTTATTATTTTTTAGATCACACATAATTTGACATAAATAAATATCAAGTTGACTACAGCACCAAAAATTAACATCTACAAATTAGTAGAAAAGAAACAATATGAAAGAACTACATCAAATCACAACCGAACTAACAGACCTGCCATGACCGTCATGACGTCCATCTGCACGTAATTGCAATAGTAGGCGCACCACGTCATTACGAGAGCTGCCGAGTACAACCAGTCGCAGAGGGTGGTCAATATCTGCTCACACTCTTTGCAAATCTCTTCAGGACTTTTTCCAAGAGGGGTTTTGGAAAGCCTTTAATCCGCAGTTCGCGTACCGTGTGTAGATAGCTGGAGACCACAGTGCACTCTTCTGTTCCTTATCACCCCATGATTGATAGGACTGCCGGTTTTCTTGAATTCTAAGGTCCCATCATCCCAGATTGTCTTCTCGTTCTTCGACAATTGGGCACAACCAATGAATGGTGGGAATGTATTTGCAGTGGCCCATCTGCCTACCTGAAAAATCCGCGAAGTGTCGGACCCGTCGTCAGTTTCTTTTTTGGCAACAGGTTATCAGGAAGATATCATTGCTTAAACTTCTTACGAATGCCCTCCAACAGACTCTCCCCTATCCCCTCGGTCTATCAGAATTACACTTATGTCTCTATTAATCACAGACCATAGACATTGTATCGCAGATTACCCAGTTCTTCCAAAAAGCAAAAGTCAGCGAAGGTGCACATGATGCAAGCTAGTGGAGGGCTAGTGCTCTTCCCAATTAGGGTCCCCACTACTTGTCTAAATGCAATTCATGTAGCTGTTATATATGTGTGCTTCAGCTCCAAACGCACAAATTTCCTCACCTGGGCCAAATCTGCAGCACACCAGTGATCATCACCCACGGCTCGACCAAAAGTACTTCCTGTGCATCTCGGGTTCACATGCACAACATTTCTCCTTTTGGTCTGATGATACTCAATAATGCAATTGACTGCTGCCTCACTTTCATCATGAGGGAACTTGCTAAACATGTCCTTTATGTCATCTATCTACGTATATCCACACATATTATATATATATATATAGCCTCCTGATGAGTCGGTGAAACTCCGACGAAACAGTTTGTCACAGCCCCTCATTTGTTGTCCTCTTCTCCCTCTCTGCCTACGGTTTACCGGGCAGTTCTATTTGACGATATATATATATATATATACTTATATATATATACTACTGAAGGAAACAGCAGGTCTCGCGTGACGCCCCGTGCGAGACCCGGTTCCCAGCTCAGGGGACTAGGCAGGCGGCCGATGCAACAGGTTCCAGCAAAACCGGCCGGGCCCAGACGAAAGCGTGGGGCGAAGGCCAGGCGGGGCCCAGACAAAACCGTGGGGCGAAGGCGATGATCTCGTAAAGGTCGGGCTGGCGACGATAGAGTGGAGCGTATGCGCGCGCAGGGGAGAGAGAGAGAGAGAGAGAGAGAGAGAGAGAGAGAGAGAGAGAGAGAGAGAGAGAGAGAGAGGATGACGATGATGATGATGATGACTGCTATTCTGGTTGCTTCTGGATGTGTATGGTGGTTAGATACATGCACTCGAATTTGCCATGTTTGAATCGCCCGGGCCGCAATTAGGGCTGCTGTTTTGCTCATATCTGGACGTGATCATGGTTAGGTACATCTACTTGGATCTGCCTGTTCGAAAACAGAGA